AAGATTGACATTCTAAACTTGCATACATTCTATACATGTGTACTTAAATAACATTGTGAATTCGCCTAGCACGATACAAATTAAAATATTTACATTTATGAATATTGTATTTGTATCGGTCTCGGTATTTTATAGGTATTTATATCAGTTTATATAGTATCCGCGCTGTGTAAATTGTTTACAGATAATAATTCTAGAGTTACATGACAAAAATTGCTTATAAACATCAATTTCAAAAACCTTGATACAGAAGAAATAGAATGAGTTTTATAACCTATATCTATATCAATACAATGCCGTCAAGGTAACTATAATTTACAATCGTGGTGGTGAATATATTTTTCTGAAAAGGTACGTATAGGTACGCTTGCGCCCGTTGAACTCTTTCACATCAATTTTGTAAGTACAAAAAAAAACAAATGTCTATTGTATTATCGTTTATCGCTAACTGTATTAACTGGTTTAGTTATGTGAAATTCAACCTGTAGTACCTACTCGCTTATAATACCCTGTATTCGTAGATACTACATCTTTCAATATAATTAAGTATTTCTTTTTATATATTCATTACAAATATATATATATAAAAAATAAAAATAAAATTCCTCTTTACAATATTACTATAGACTGGTTTATATTGTATATGCAAAGTATATTATACAGTATAGTGTAGTAATAGCTATAGTATAGATACTGACTTCAAATTGATGATGACGTCATTCAATATCCTCGGTGCTGTTCATATGTAAGTGTGGGACAGGTGGGCCAGTCGGTATGTTGTTACAGTTACATAAGAAAATATTACGTTATATTCCTGTAAATACAAATACCCCAGTTTGTCTGAAATGAATATGAAAACAAGTTCGTAAATTTCGGTAATAATCGTCGTTATTATTAGCGGCTCATTGAATGGCCAACCGAGACCTAATGAGACCTATTTTACCTCCAATTCAGATCTGAGAAACACAAAATTATACCACCCATAGAGAAACGGTTCACTGCCCTGCGTTGTATAGGCAAATTTTAGGAATCAAATTAATAACAGATAGAATATAGAAGAAATCATAAGTCAATAACATTTGACCTTATCATTTTATTTAATTTGTCTACTGTAAAGCCGTGCCCCGCGGTATCACCTGCTGTTTTATTTATAACAATGAAACTGATGACAACGTTTCATCCGCTTGAAATTTTGTCTCTTTATACCTATCTTCTAAGGTTACCTACCCTAAAGAGAAGACTTTAACCGCTTAAAAGCTAGGAAACGTGTTTTCATATGAGAAAATTATTCTTCAGAACCATTGCGTTTATCTAATTTTTGTTGTCTGGAAGGTATATTATTCAAGATAAACATAAGTATTATAATACATACGTTAATATATACAAAATACAGAAATATATAGGCGCTCGGGTGAAGCGAAACTTTCATCAAGCATAATGTAACACACCTCATACAGAACGTAAAAATATATTTTATGTCCGACTAGTAGTTTCAGAGAGCATTATTTTCAAACAAACTTGAGAGATGGGTAGGTAGGAGGTAGAAATAGATGCGGTATCTATTTCTACCTCCTACCTACCTATCTCTCATGCGCTGGAAGACCAGAGGACAATATGCATTATTTTTTCCGCACCCTTTATTCTTTAATACCACTGCCAAATTTCATCCAGGCAATTAGCAATGCCTTCTACATTACCTACCATAAATTGTCATTTAATGAAAAAATATTTATTATTGGCATCTAGTTATTTCCCTGGGTTCAACGACATCCATGGAATACAGTTGTTTTTGTATAAGAGTTCTTTGATTGTCCGACTCATTTCACCGGCGGGTGGTAAGTATCATCTCAGTAATTTATTCTATACATACACCATAAAAAATTACTGTATTAAGTAATTGGTTTGATTTACTGTGAACGAAATAGCCTATATTTCGTAGTCGTAATAGTTCGTAGATATATGTAGATATGGACTTAAAACGATGTCGCAACTGTACATTAGTGAGTTGGTTAAATAAAAAAATAGTATAGAATAGATGATTCTTTATTCATATAAAGTTACATTTTAGAACTTTGGAATATTAAGAAAATGTATATAATCCTAACAGTGCCCTTGTCTTTTAAGAATCGATTACTTTAGTAATAGCTAATTGAAATTTATTCTTAAATCTTTGCTTGGAAAAAACATATACATACGTTCCACGACTATATAAGAAGCTTCCATCATTTATTAAAGATCTTGTTGTACTGCATAAATTTAAGAATGCACTAAAGTCTTTTTTTATTACTAAAGCCTACTATTCCGTCACTGATTATATTGATGACAAATTTTAATAGTGACATAAATATATAAAAATAAATATTGACATTTATATTGTAATTTGTATAGGTTCTATGTATATTATGTATCTATTTACAAAAAAATATCTAAGTACTTACATATATATAGTAAGTTGTCTAATATCTACCCATTAGACAAGATGCTTACATTAAATATATTATGTAAATATATTCGCATGCAATTAGGTCTTATGTTTTTAATCTACGTTCATTCGGAACGGCTCATTTATTTAATTCTGTCTCATTACAGGTAGAACGTTAAATAATGTATATTTAAACAAATTGAATTAAATATATTCATATATATTTGCATCCACAAACATCGGTCGTCATTCCTTGTTAATTTGTTATATTGGTATTTTACTTTAATATTTTTTAATAACATTTATGTCCGCACTATATAAATTACAATTAAAATAAATTAAAGTTTAGATACAAAATCAGTTAATGACTATTGAAAATTTAATTTACAATAAATTTATTTTATTTTATAGTTTAAAGTATTTGACACAAACATCATTATAGTAGCAGTACATTATAATAGCTGTGAGTAATGTTTTTCTTAAGAACAATAAAAAATTTTGTATTCATTTGGTCATTAATACCTAGGAAATACGCTCAACAGATGCTATGTGGTAACCGTCTTTTATATATACAATAATAGCACCATGAACATAACGTTGTCATGTGACCCATGATAACATTCATGCGTTGCATTCAGTAGTTCTCGATTCATGAAAGTAACAAGGAAATATTTAGTTTCTTATATGTTTATACTATTTTACGCTATACGTTCTTAGCAGAATGATCATGGTAGTTATGTAGTGTAAGAAGCTGGTATCATCCGCCGTACGACAGATTGCCATTTGTCTATACTAGCTGCCATTCTGGACACTCGTGGAATTTACCGCCTACCGCTGCTATGACTGCTTGGTCGGTCCAGCGCATGTATGATCGAGCACGGGTTCTACTACCATCAACCTACAACCATCTGAATGATATGGATACAACAGCCAAGTCCAACTATTTAGTTGGACTTGACCAAAGTTTTGTAATAGATAAAAGTACTTCACTCATTTAACAACTTATAAGGTTCACTTATATAGGTATACTAGCTTTCGCCCGCGGCTTCGCTCGCGTTAATTTATCCCCATAGGGGTGGAATTTATCAAAATCTTTTCTTAGGGGATACCTACGTCATAGTAGCTTTATGTATGCAAAGTCTCAGCCCGATCGGTTCAAAATTGACAAAGTTTCATACAAACTGTCATCCCCTATTTTATCCCTTTGGGGGTAGAATTAATCAAAATCCTTTCTTAGTGGATGCCTACGTCAGAACCTACCTGCATGCCAAATTTCAGCCCGATCCGTCCAGTGGTTTGGGCTGTACGTTGATAGATCACTACATCAGTCACCTTTGAGTTATATATATTTAGATATTTAACGTATTACAGAGGTTATTTACGTAAAGCAGCTATGAAAAAAAGAATTCAGACAGGGATCAAAAAATCTACTACAAAGGTAAAAATTAGGATAGATAGCATTTATTATTCAGTTAATTAAATTAATGTTATATAAAATAGGCATATTAAGTTTTCCAAAAGAAAACCGACCCAAAAAAATTATAAAAGTAAAATTTATGTGAAATAGCTATACGGACATTAATGCGTTGCTATACCTAAAGATTGAGATGTCGACTTTCTCTATGATTTCACTACTGAAATGAGCTGATGATGATCATACGCAAAAACTCTACGTCATTAGTGTGTTAGGACGAAAACGAAATCATGAGCGTGATTGAACACAACATAAATCACGGATTGTAGGTCTACCGATTGAACATTATGCATGCAAGTCCGCAAGTCACGTATGAGGTAGATTAGATGTAGGCATAACTCCCTGTATTGGGCCTATAGACCTGTAAGATCTATATGCCCAATACAATAGTGTATCCAATGGTGTGCGCCATCTATTATATAGTAAATATATGCTAAAATTATTACAAGTGTATTAAATTACGAATTTATATGTCTGGTTTGTGTGAATTCACAATAACAACATTATACGTTATATGTTATATTACTGAACATGTGGCATACATAATATAGTATTATAAAGCTATTCTGTTTTTAACAAACAGATTAAAAACAAATAATTTTGGGATTATAAATAAAAAAATAAATTAGGAACTTTTTAATCGTCAATTAAGTGTGTGCATTTACCGGCATTTAGCCGGCCACATGTTGCACTCATTAATGAATGTTGTTGAAGGGTTCACCGTAAGAGTAAAGTTAATTGATAAAGACAGAAGCTAGCAGACTCTATTTTAAATCCTATAATGTTATGGTACCGAGTGACTGTTGTGAGTATTTGTAGGTAGGTACTACATATTTACATTATATTAACAAAGGTAATAATGTTATTGTCATTCTTTGGTAGGAGTTTCGGGATATTTTATCAGCAAAAATACCTATTGCACCATTTATTTTTTATATTGTGTATGTGTGTAACTTCATAGCCATATAATCAACATGCAAAACACTTCTTTATTTAGAAATTATAAGCGAATATATGCATATATCATGTACATATAAACGGATAAAATTATAACTATTGTTTTTGCATTTCCATAGTAGGTACAGTACGACAGTGTGCACTCACCTTCATTTCCAGCTTTACGCCCAACACTTTGCCGGTTGTATCAGCGGTCTCTCACAAAAAACAAAACGAGACCAACATCAGAGTCCTTCCACTTCAACACTCTTGTTCAACTAAAACAAAATCATTGGAACTCGCACTGACCGGTGAATGCCAAAACACAGTATCTGACAAAAGCGATACGGGCTCCACACGAGCTCACTTCACGATTGTTAAGTACAAACTAAGGTTTCACGGGTGCTGAGGCGGCGCCGGCCGACCCCCTAGCTGTGTGCAGCTTCCCATTGGTGGCAACTGCGACGCCGGGGCGTGGCGCGTTCATACCACAACGATACACTCCACTCTCACTATGGAAAGGTGTTCGATTAATACAGTAAAAAGCCGTATCTCGCCTGAATTATTACATGTCCACGTTTTAATATTATTTTAAACTGATTAAAAGGGTTGGCACTGCTATAGCATTACAGTTATATAATGCAATGTTTGTTTTATGCAGCGTATTGTTCACTCCGAATGTCATTGTGTTCAGATTCTGTATATCAGTTTCTGTTTAATATGAAACAGAAACTGATATACAGAATCTGATAATGTGTTGGTAATCTAATATGTAGATTAATTTAAAAGAGGACTCTATTAAGAGATAAAATATAAAGTAAGAAATGACAACGTACCTACGTACCTATAATATAGGTAATAATAGGTAGAAAACGGCCACTGATTAAATTATTTCATTCTGACAAAAATGCAATAATGCTCGATGCGTCAAATTTAAAAATAAATCTGCTTTTAGGTAGTCATGTAAGTACGAGCTCATTTGAAAGAATACGTAAGTGCTGAATTTCTTGTCAGATACTTAAGAGGAACAAAAAGCAAAAGCACTCCGAACTGACGGTAGATTTGATATATTATGAGAGTCTGTAATATACTACATCATAAATATATTTTGATTTGTTTTGATATGAAAAAATATGAAGGAAGACTTACAAAAGGTAAAAAATTTAAAGAGCTGTATAAAAAATACATCAATTTTTTTATAACAAATATATATATATATATATATATATATATACAAGTATTCCTAAATTTTTATGTGTCATGAAAGTGGCAATCAAGCAGTTATTCTTCTTGTTATTTACGTATCGAAATAGTACGAGTATATAGTAGAATAAAAAAATGACAACAATGCAATAAAATGTTAACTTTATTTTAATAAAGATTACTTCTGTTTCTATTTCATATAAATTAAGAAACATTTATTTTAGACTTTATTATAATCGTATAGTAGCTATCCATTCTATAGGTAAATATTCATGTTCATGTAGGTATACTATGATTTACTTACTCTTGACTTTGTATATATATATACACCTACTTTTTACAACTAATATGTAATCATTAAATTTAATAATAATTGCTTATATTTTATTATAGATATGGATAATAATGGAATAGTACCTGCGCCACCCGTTTACGCTGACCAGTCACCAGTTAATGATGATAAGATTTCAAATCAAGTCAGGTCTACTAGCCCATCGTGACAATTCACTAGTAATTTATCACGATGTTTTCCAGCCGGATCCAGTCGAGGTCAACCTGACATGGTACATCACTAATAATCCTCTTCCCAGAATTGTCTAGATTAGGACACCCAATATGACTTTTCGAATTTTGACCTAAGCCTTACGCCTAATACGCCGCATCGGTTATAACTAGAATTAATAGTTTAACCAAAGTTTCCATTATTTTCAACTTTAATAGGTCGCTGCAATATAAACAATATTTATAAGTGTCCTCAGTCAAAAATATTTATTATCTACATCAAGTTATTATTAACTTGTCTTGTATTTTAAAATATTTTTTTTAGTTTTTAATTTTAGCTTATTTTAAATAAAAAAGCTTAACAAACAAAACTTTTTTGTCCTATTTAGCGGGCAATTTACACAGATCATGGGAGAACTCACAGGATGCTCTCGGCGTTTTTTATGAGCTATCTTTTTTTTCGAGGCGTATCAATCTTTTGATTGCGTAGATCATAAAACACTTTTGTACAAGCTCGAACATTATGGTTTTAGGGATAATAACCTAAATGTAATGAAAACTTATCTAGAGGTGCAAACTGTAGATATTGATGGTGTAAAGTCTAAGGGAACTAATATTAAGATGGGCGTTCCACAAGGTTCAATCTTAGGCCCACTTCTCTTTTTAATTTATATAAATGACCTTACCTACATAATAAAGAAAGTTGTGTTATTTGCGGATGATACTTCGTTAGTGTTTAAAATTGGTAGCCAAAGTAATCAATTAGACGATGTAAATTATGCTATCCCTGCTATATTAAATTGGTCCACATGTAATAAGATATTATTAAATTCCAAGAAAAGTAAGTGTCCTAAATTCACGCTTCTTAATGGAAGACAAATAAATACGCAGCTATTGCTTAATGATGAAATATTAAATTTTATTAATCATACAGTTTCTTTAGAAATAACATTGGACACGATGTTACAACGGGGGTCCCATATTACAAAATTAGCAAGTAGACTCAGTTCTGCTGCTTATGAAATTAGAAGAATAAAGCAATTAACAGACATGGCGACGGCAAAATGTATATAGTTTAGTTATTTCCATAGCATTATATCATATGGCATACTGCTGTGGGGTAATGCATGCCGCATTGCATGCATGGCGCAAACTGCCGCATGCATCCTTATGTAAAGTGGGAATACTGTAATTACCATATAGTAATTTTAAGTAGCTATGAAGTGGTTGAGTGGAATGAGTAGTCATGCTCACTAAAATATCCAGACATGTGGCGGCGTGATGGGCCGGGTCATTGGGCTCCCTAATATGGTCGAGCGCAGAGATGGCTGGCTTATCTGTCATACTGGTGAACGAGTGCTGCTTGTCTGGTCTGTCGATGAATGAGTGTTGGTGTGCTCTTATCACTACGACTAATTTAATTTTATTGTGTATTTATATTTGACCCTAATAAATTAGAACCTAGAACCCAGACCAATACAAACAGTCATACTCATGAATACAATAGTTTATCGTGCATCATGCGAGTAATCAACCCCGTTACCATCGGAAGTAAGACTAAACCGAGCTGATGCATCGAGGTATTTGTGCATAATACACATGACAATACCCAAGACGTGAATATATTATATAATAAATCACAAACATTAAACATTGTCTGTAAGGCTAATACACAAAAATTTTTTTAATCTGTTCAAAATGTTAATTATTTACACATAATATTGCCTGTAGTTTACAATGCCTTTTAAAAATTTATATCAGTTACCCATACAAGTTTCTCTTAGGCTTAGACTAGGTAAATATATTTAATTATACATATTATATATATATATTTATTATAGGAAATATTACATTCACATAATTTGTACAATGCAAAAACTACATAACGAATACAAATAAATTTCCTATGCAGATAGATCATAGGTTCATCATTATCATTTCTTTTTATTATAGGTACAGTTATTTTTGGCTTCTCGTCGCTTTCATACGGATATATTATAGGTATCCTAGACTGTCGCAAAAAATTTACTAATTATGCTTTTACCAGATCGACTCAAATGAAGTAGCTAACCAAATTAGACTTAGCAGCTGTATTTGTGTGTATATGAAGTTGTCGTTAGTCGTCGTTGTGATTCAATAATTTTGTCTTTGATATAGGATACTTTTGATCTGAAGTTACATGTATATATGTGTAAATTAACTTAATATTTGATATATGTGTAGGATACTATTAACCTGAAGTTACCTGTATATGTAAATACAGCAGGCATGTTTGCTTCTATATGAAGTTGTTGTTGGTTAGTGCATAAAAAAATATCTTTGATATAGAATACTTTGACCTGAAATTACATGTATATGTAAATATAGCAGCTGTATTTGCGTCTATATGAAGTTCTCGTTGGCTAGCACGCGAATCATCTCGTAGGCAATTACCGCCGCTGAGCAGATAATAAGTGGTATTAGCGAAGCGTACACCGCACACCGCGCGGCACGCAATCAGCGCGCTTGTTGTGAGCAGTCGATGACACTCCACTGCTTTCGTTACTGTAATTTTGTCGCATTTGGGGTGCGCTCAGCTAGGGTAGCCAACTCTCTCCGGTTTATACAGGATGCCTCGTATTTAGATAATTACGATGCAACATCGCACTTATATTAGGATATGTTATTTTTACGTATGGTTTATTACTACGACTTATAAAAAAAAAAGTTTCAGTTTAAATTCAAATAAATTAGAAAGACGGCGGCAGTCTCTTCATCTGTCTAAATAGATTCGAATATTCCAAATGTAAGCTTTATAGTCGGACTCACGGGAAGACTTTTTTACCATGTGTAAAAATATTTAAAAGATCCTTTCTCCACGGGATGGGTGATGAGGGAGTGTGTGGTATTCTTACCCACTAAACTAAACGGCTAGTACGAGCGCTGTGAAGAATAGCTGATGACAAGTAACTACTGACTATTTCATAGAAGCCGAAAGGGGAAATAATTAAGAAAATATTTTAACATTTCAAAAAATATATGCTAGCATCTCATTTATAAAGTTTTGAGGAGGTTATTGAAAATAATACGGGCTAGCAATGTGTATTTAGAATTTTTAAATACACATTGCTAGCCAGTGCCAACTTAATTTTTTTCAAAATCTATAATCATTTATTCATGTAGGACATTTTAGACATTTTAGTTATGAACGTCTAGTTTTTACATCATAATTTTTTTCCCTACCGTCCAGTTCGGTACATAGATCCAATTGAGATGAACTGGCAAGAAACTCAATTGAATTACTTTTGTTTTTTAAGCCAGTATATTTACAATATATAGATTTATATAGGTGTCTATGTCTAACATTAAATGGAAATCCCGTGCATGAACAACTATTTCCATGCACGCTCGTCATTCAAGTAATCGTTTAGTAATAGGCTTTGCTCCGTAAATATGAATTAACAGATGTTTTGAATTTATTTAAAGGTAATTCCATTTATATTCTTTTGGTATCTTAGTGTAAATTTTTATACCTATTCCCATAAAAGACCTATCGACTTTTTCTAAACGATACTTGGGGAGAGCAAGTTTGTCTTTAAATCTAGTATTAATTTTGAAATACGTCAAATTGTTTTAAATATAGAAACTTATCCAGTTATTATTTTTTTGTATACATAATATACTACAG